AATTGACCAGGGCAACCTTTCCATTAGATTCGTATAAAAACAAAAAACAAGACCACGCATTAATCTGACCTGTCAATTATGGAGAGTGGTTGCAAATTGTCAAAGAGCACGTGAAGTTGACTGATACAAGATGAAAGACTCTAGAAAAGAAGAAGTAACTGATCTACGTAACTGTCGTTATAATGCTGTCACCAAATTTTTTTATTTAAATTTTTCTTCCCGATGAAATTTAACTTACCTCGTGCGTACTGCGTGCGACCGATGTTGATCATAAACTTTCCAATTATTATTATATATTCCTCGAAATCAATGCTGACATTATCTTCGTATTAAATGCTAGATTAATTCAGATGCAAACTTGTCAATGAACCTGGTGTTTATGCTGACAGCAGAATCAAATGGATAAGCAAGAAGCATATGGACATGGATGTGGTGATTTATTTATTTATTTATTTATTTAAAGCAATACGCAATACGCAATACGGAATATATAAAATAAAGTCCCGTGTGGTATTCTATTTAAAAATTATGATTTTTTTGAAATAATGATTTTAAGATCTAAAAATTTGTTTAATATTGAACTTCAAAGTATTTTTAAGAGCTAAAAAAATTAAAATTAAAATTAGAAAATCAGAAACCCTAAATTCTCAAATTAAAATTAACGGATGAAAAGGAGAGAGATAGAAGAGAGAGATGAAGGAGGAAGAGACAGAGACGAGAGAGAGTGAGGAGAGAGAGGGGTTCCAATTATTGAGTTGAATTAAAGGTGGGGGTTGCTTCAACCACAAGGATTTTCTGTTTGAAATATAGTATTTTTTTTGTTCCGTCTAAATTTAAAAGACAGTATATAAATATTAAAACATTTGATTGCCTACGTATTCAATAATGCTTACTCAAATTACGCCCTTCGATTAGAGTCAATGAATGAGGTTTTGGGGATTGAAACAAGCTTTTTTTTTCTTTTGACAAACCATTGAAATGAACCATACATAAAAAGTTTTTATTTGGGATTATTGAAATTTTGAAGATTTTATTTGTTTGTTTGTTTGTGTTCTACGTTGAAATACAATATTAATTGTTGTATAAAATTATTAGATAGAAACATAGATCATTTTGGGGCATTTCATTTGGAATTGAAGCATAGTTTGACAAACATCTTTGTGTAGCCCATAAGATAACCATGCATGGGCTTGATGGGTGAATAATTAGTCACAGCTAAGTATTTTAAATCATGTTGTACACAAGAGTTTAGTAGTGGATTTGGATCATAGTGGAAGCTGGGCTTTGGAGGTGAGAAATTGAGAAATTAATCTAGAAAAATTTCAACGAAATAGTTAAAAAAATAACAAATAATTGAGTAATGAAGGTAATAAAATCCATCTTATAAATGTGAAACTCACAAAAAAAAAAAAAAAAAACCTAGCCGACTAAGAGAGAGAGAGGGAGAAAGCTTTAGATATGGGGGGTTTTCCCCCCATTCTTAATGTTCTTCGACTTTTGGCAGATCTATGCTGATATGGTCTCCCTTTGTCTCCACCATAAATCTGGGACAACTTTGGATGTGCCTCATCTTGTTGGCTCTTTGAAGTGTTATTTCTTGTCATGGAAGATCTAATGTTGATTGGCGCATTGGAGCCATGAAGTGATTAGGTGGCGCTCTTTATGTCATATCTAGGAGGAAGATTAGCGAAGTTTTTTCTTCCTTTTGTCAGTGTTGTTTTAGATTTTTAGTATTGGTTTTTTTGGTCAATAAAGTCCAAAAACTCTATTATTTTTATATGTTTTTTCCTCTCATAATTCTAGAAATTTAGTTCAGTTTGCTATGTGTTCTTGGTCTCTTTAGGAGAGTTATGCCGGTTAGCAGCCAGTTTTGTCCTTGATGCCACTGGACTAAATTCGGGGAATCTATGATGGTAGAAAAGAATTAATTATATAAAAGTTATTTTCAAGAGTGAATCTCTCCAGATCGTTTCAGCTTTTCCGCTGTCTTAAGCCATTATGGAAGTTTTTACCCATATCTACCATATTGCAATTGAGATAGCTCCATGTTCTTTGTACTAATTTTTTTTTCCTATTAAATTAATAAAAACTATCCACTTTTTAATATAAAAAAAGGTGAACAGAGGTTTGCCAGTTTGGAACTCAATGCACATAAAATAATCATCCACAAAAAAAAAAACTCATCATTTTTTCTTCTTCAGTTTTTGGGCTAGGCCGAGCTTTCAGCTCCCTTCCATCACCCTCCACACTATATCCCATTGGGTCACCTTTGATCAATTTGAGCCCAGAGTGTTCAAAATTCCATCTTTACAGCCACTTCCCTCAAAACAATCTGATATAATTGTTAGGATATGTGCACCCAAGAATTGTTTCTAGACACTCGAGAATTGTTTTTGGACAACTGACAAATGGAGTCCCTTTCATGATACATCCAATATACCAGTGCATTGCACTTTTAGTACTTGGATTAAAAGATTTAATGATTAAAATTCAGTTATTGATAAAACAATGCACCGATACATTGAATATACCATACAATTAGACACGAGAACGGTTCGTGACAATTTTCAGGTATTCGTATAATTGCCCTAATCATTATATCTCGGATCTAACGTCATGTGGATAAATTTTATTATTTACTATGATACTAGTCAATTTGATATCAAAAGTCTTAACTTTATTTTTAGTACTGTTGTTTTCCCAGGTTTAGGGTAATTTCCAGCAAACACATGATTGTCGTAAAATACTGAACAATAATATTTGGATGACTGAGAAATTGCTCAACCTTTGGATGTTTTCCTCAAGGCCAAAAGTAGGTTCTTGTTGCCATTACAGCAAGCTTCTACAGCCTAAACCAGATCCATGATATCAATGTGACCTTGCATGCCCCTTTTTTTTAAAATCAAATATCATCGGCATGATTGATCATTCTTGATTACAAGGGACCATAATTTTTTACAAAAACTGTCCTATGCTTTGGACCTATTACATCTTGTTCTTGATTGTCAAATTCATATTCGGTTGACTTTTATTAGGGTTATTATCATTTGTAAGTACAAGAAATCCTTTGAAAATTATTCGATTTCGATTATTTCAATGTTCCAATATTTTTTTTTTGGGTGAAAAAGAATTAAGCCAACCGTACAGAAGGTACAGAGAGTGCCCTAGTACGACGATAGCAATTGACCCTTAGGATACTCCGTAAACAAATGAGGAGAAATTACATTCCGTAACCATATATGCTGACTTTTGTTTTTATTTTTAAATAACGAGTAGCGTGATTAATTTTTTGAAGTTTAATTATTTATTGAGATGATAAGAATCAAATTCTTGTAGTGAGTATGGTGAAAATATTGAGCTGGGTGCATGAGTATAAATTCCTTTGGGAGTATTTTGCTTGTGTTCAAAATTACGTCGTTTTTTGTTTAAAGGGTATTAAACGGAAGTCTTTAAACGTAGCTTTAATCATAGAGTGTTGTTATTTGGACCATATTTATTGATCACATTATTGATTACTTTTCTAATACAAGTGGATTCTACATATCCCGGGAGGAAACAAAAAAATAAAGCAAAAAAGTAGAGGATGCTCCTCAATTTGTTTGGTATCCAATAAAGAATAAAAGATAATGCTGTTTGTACCACATATATTGACTACTTTGCACCTGATGTCTACTTATATACGTATGATGAGATCCACACTAATTAACAATGTGATCGATAAATGTGGTACAAATATTTGAAAGATAATTACATAGAAATAGTTGCGGATTGCAAAAATAGAAAAATACATAGAGTTTTGGACAGAAGCATTTGAACTTCAAAAGTACTGCTGTTAAGAGTCCAACGTTTTTTGCCAAAAGAAACCAAAGAAGTACAAGTACTTGACGACGGGACCAATTAGACGCAAGTATATTGCTTTGCTCCAATATGAGCAAACTTCAAACCACACCAAGATTCTTTCCATTCACTTTCAGACGTCGGTTTCTCGTATCTTTGGAAAGTACAGCTTTCTGTATGCTGTATATGCTGGCGGCGTTGTTTCAGAAGCTCAGCCTTTGTCTTCTTCCAAATGGCCGCTGCTTTGTTCCTCTCTCTCTCTCTCTCTCTCTCTCTCTCATCTGTCAAAGACTGGCATATACTTTCTACTTGTATGTCTTATATGGCGGAGGCTTAATTGGGCTGCATGGCAGGATGTATATATATCCCAAGTTCTTGTATGTGTTTCGATCCGTTTCCCCACCAACACTACGGACCCTCTCTGGTTTCTGGGTTTTAATGTTCTTGGTGTTTGGTGAAGAATGTTCATGTGAAGGAAGCTGATTGCTTGAGATTTCTGTTGGATTTGGTACATACTGGCATTTTCAAAGCCCAACCCTTTATCCCCTGATGACCACTTTGTGTTGCCTATCAGTTGTTTGAATTATGTTTTCTGTGGGTTTTTAGTTATCACTGTGTTGAATATCATCTTACACATCATAAAACCTAAAGATATGATTAATTTCCATGCAAGCAATGCAATATATCCAACACTCACTGATGAGACGAGTCTTGTTCATTTGGTGAGGTAACAACTAATGGGATTAGTTGCCATTGCCATTTGAAATTCAAAATTTATGTTTCATTTTATCAGACAGATAGTACTGTTTCTAATGCTTAAAAACTGAATAAACAAGAAACTCCACTTAACTAAGCCTGATTTTCGTATTTCCAAACCATAAAGCAGGAACTATAAGTTCCAAATTGTATTTGTCTTTCTTCACATGTCATCAACTTCCTCATTAACTAGGTGAATGGAATATGTGGTCTTCTTGAAGTTGATACAAGAAGCTGTGGCCTCAAGATGTTGGAGGAATCATATTTCACCAACCTGTATTAGATTTTTTATTTATTGGTTAAATGATGATGTTTGTATCCGTCGAACTTTTTATATGACAACTTTCTGAATTCGCAGATTGGCTATCTTTCTGTTTCTCGGTGAGGGCTAAGACAGTGGAGCCGAAATGGACACGTCAGTTGCCCTTGAGCCTATATGCAAGGAAGCTGTTGATCTGGTGCATGTTCTTCATCTATTTACATTTTGGTGTTAAACTAGCATTCCCCAAAATCTTATGCTAATCATAAAGCTCATAACTAGTGTGCAAGAGGATCGCTCTGTGAAGTAGTACCTAGTACCTGTCATATTAGAGTCTTTTGAGTATTCTGTCAGATTTATTTTATCTTATACATTCTGGCAGGAGAACATCCCTGTTGAAGAAGTCTTTGAAAATTTGAAATGCACGGCCGAGGGTCTCAGTTCTGTTGAGGTGCAACAGCGGTTGGAGGTGTTTGGTTACAACAAGCTTGAAGAGAAAAAGGTTTCGGAGAACTTGTTTCAGCTTGTGCTGTTACGTCTGTTGTTGTAATTAAATTCTTTAAATTGTTTCTTAGGCAGAAATCTCTTTCAGTTAGCTTCCACCTTCTTGTTCTATAATACAGTATTTTTCTTTGCAGGAAAGTAAACTGCTCAACTTTCTGGGATTTATGTGGAACCCTTTGTCTTGGGTTATGGAAGCAGCTGCACTAATGTCCATAACTCTTGCACATGGAGGCGTAAGTCTCTAGGAGTTCATCTTACCATTGAGACAAGAACTTAGGTTTCTTAACTGACTTTTGAAAACATTTTTCTTTCAGGGAAAGGGTGTAGATGTTTATGACTTCGTGGGCATCCTGGCACTACTTATTATCAATTCAACAATAAGCTTTATAGAGGAAAATAATGCTGGAAATGCAGCTGCAGCCCTTATGGCACGACTGGCTCCAAAAGCCAAGGTTATCTCATTTTTATAGATGAACTGCATTTCCCTTCTCCATTTCCTTACTGTTTCCTTTCTGTTCTGTTCATAGGGTTTTATTTCATTTGATTCTTTTTGTTGCCTTCTGTAAAGTTGATAGTGAATAAAATCTCAACAGGTTTTACGAGATGGAAAATGGAGTGAGGAAGATGCTTCTGTGCTGGTTCCTGGAGACATTATTAGTATCAAATTAGGAGATATAATTCCTGCCGATGCTCGTTTGCTTGAAGGAGATCCTTTAAAAATTGATCAGGTAGCTAAGTCATATTCTACTATTATGGTTATGAGCCATTTCTACATGGTGATTTATATACAAGTGTATTGAAATTTGAATATGATAAGGAAATTAGGAATAGACCAAGCAAAAGGAAAAGGGGTTCAAGCTAACTGAGGTTGGGACTTTATTTAAGGTTGCTATGTTCAGGTCTTATAATAAATCTACCCTTAAATTGAATCACAATGCAGAGTCGAAATTTAGTTATAACTGGCATCCGTAACTGGAATTGTTACTTAAATGTTACTTTCCTATTGGATAAGCAGGAAATATATGAATGAAGTTATGTGTCCTTGATTCTGCCATCCATGCATCCTTTTTCCATATTACTCGATCCTTAATTTCTTAGATTAAAATGACCTTGAGCAGTAGGAGAGTAACATGGTTCCTCATCCTTAGAAGTTCTTTCATGTTATGTTAAATTCAAATTAATTTCAATGTTGATGCCATAAAACAAGTAGTCTAGAAAACATTGGCATTATTGTCTTTCAAGAGGAGCTCATACCTAAGATGAACATTATTGGATGTGTGGCCCATTATGAGCGTTTAACGCATCCTTATATCACCTGGTTCTACTATTTCTCGCCTTCTATTGTGACAGACTTTCCGAACTTTCTGTTTTATTATTTGTTTCTTCTTTTCAGTCTGCCCTTACAGGAGAGTCACTCCCAGTAACTAAGCATTCTGGTGATGGAGTATACTCTGGGTCAACATGTAAACAAGGTGAACTCGAAGCAATTGTCATTGCAACTGGAGTACATACCTTCTTTGGAAAAGCTGCCCATCTTGTGGAAAGCACGACACATGTTGGGCACTTTCAGCAGGTTCCTTTTTAGAACTCTTTTCGTCTTAATAGAATCATATGTTCATGTTGGTAAAATGTCAAGCCAATAGACATCTTTCATATGAGATGCTTTTCAATTTAGAACTCAGCAGCATAAAAACTTTCAGTTTGTTGCTTACAGGTAACGGGACAGTAAAATCCACCCATGTTAGGGAATGTTTCATCTTGAGTATGAGAATTTGTTACTGGTTTCACATGGCTAAATTACCATTTCGACTGATTGTTTCAGGTCTTAACAGCTATTGGAAACTTTTGCATTTGCTCAATTGCCGTTGGAATTGCGATTGAAATAATTGTCTTAATAAGTCAAGGGAGATCTTATCGTCCTTCAATAGATAACCTTCTTGTTCTACTTATCGGCGGCATCCCAATTGCTATGCCAACAGTTCTGTCTGTCACCATGGCCATTGGTTCTCATCGTTTAGCTCAGCAGGTATAACAAGCTGCATTTAATTTATATCATGAAATTTCAGTGCTGAGTTAGACTCTCTTTGATGTGGAAGTCAAAGCAATAGTTTGTCTGAGTTCTTTTCAGGGTGCAATCACAAAGAGAATGACAGCTATTGAAGAAATGGCTGGGATGGATGTGCTCTGCAGTGATAAAACAGGAACTTTAACTCTCAACAAATTAACCGTGGACAAGAATCTCATAGAGGTGTTAATTCTTGATCCTGTCATATGCCTAAATTTTTTGACAGATATGACAGTGAACTACGTAATTATCTTGCTCATTGAAGTTTATTATCAATTCACATTTTGTTGTTATGTTTAAATCTAGACAATAAAGCTATTCACTGTTTGAGATTTTTCTATTTCTATTCCCAGTGGTCTGAGAGAACCATATGTGTAAAGAAGTACATCTTCTTTTCGGAGCCTTCTTGTTCTAAGCTATATAATCAGAAACATAAGGACTCAAGATAGATTTACATTATTGTTGTTTAGAATGTACGAAGTAGAGCTAAATATTTTGCTATATAATGTTGTTTGGAACGAAAAGATGAAACCTACTACGGTTCTGCTTTACTGTATCTCCATGGATGTTAAATTTAAGCACTATTGCATTATGTTGACATTTGACAAAGACTTCCATTTTGCAGGTTTTTGCCAAAGGTGTTGAAAAGGACACGGTTGTATTGATGGCCGCAAGAGCTTCAAGGTTGGAGAATCAAGATGCTATTGATGCTGCAATTGTTGCAATGCTAGCTGATCCTAAGGAGGTAGGAGACTATAACTCAAAATTTTTATGCAACTCTTATAGGATGCTAAAGTTGAAGGTTTTGGAGAAGTTGAGCCTGCTTAGGTGTTTCAATTCAGTCTTCAAGTGCAATTCCAATGTGAATCTATTGTTGTACGATAACAAGAAGTGCATATCTATAGTATCATATTACGCCACCAAAATTATTATACTCCTGTGTAAAAAAAAAAAAAAAAAAAAAAAAAAAAACAGATATAGCATATATTCTACTCTAACTTGCAGAGCTCTGTAGGGCAGGTCATGTAGGCTATGAGATTTCCTGTATAGTTTTGAACCTTGCATATGCAATCATGTGTTTCGTTCGCTAAAGCTTCATTGAACTGAGTTTCTCCTGTGTTCATTTGTAAGGCTCGAGCTGGAATTACAGAAATTCACTTCCTTCCATTCAATCCAACTGATAAGAGGACAGCACTTACATACATAGACCAAGCTGGTAAAATGCACAGAGTGAGCAAAGGTGCACCAGAGCAGGTACTTAATGTCTCAATTTGAAATCTTGGTTTCTTAGTCCTTCACAGTAAAAAATGACCTAACAAAGACCTTTTATTTGTGTAATTTGTAGATACTCAATTTGGCATGGAATAGATCAGATATTGAGAAAAGGGTACACTCAGTGATTGACAAATTTGCAGAGCGTGGACTTCGATCCCTTGCTGTTGCTCAGCAGGTAACCAAGATTTTAACAAATACCTACTCTTGGATGTATGTTCCTTTGATGCATTATGGTTGAGGCGAGTTCTGTAATTTACAGGAAGTTCCTGCTGGTACAAAAGACAGTCCTGGTGGACCTTGGGAGTTTGTTGGTCTTCTCCCACTGTTTGATCCACCACGCCATGACAGTGCTGAAACTATTAGAAGAGCTTTAGATCTTGGTGTGAGTGTTAAAATGATCACAGGTATGTGAAAAAAAGGAGTTTTTTCTCTTTTCAATTCAATGCTGCATTATAACTAAAAAAAAAACTCTCAGTCTACTCATTCATAGTCATCAGTTTCGAGAGGTCAACAGGGTCGGGTCATAAAACTATCAATTTACTCGTTCTTCTGATTTATCTGTACTACAAGATTCACTATCAGAAAAGTTGCTGATGACTCTGAAGTTACTTCTATCAATTTACTCGTTCAGGACACTAATTTATAATGAACTTCATAAATTTCATTATCTTGTACTAATCCCAAGTGACTAATGTTTATGATGAACTTCATAGATTATGACCGCTTCCACTCCAACCTTCTCAGCACCCTAAATTTCAGACATTTTTTCAAAACTTTCTTTTGACTTCCGTAATTGAATTATTTTCCAGGTGATCAACTGGCAATTGGGAAAGAGACAGGGAGACGGCTTGGGATGGGTACAAACATGTATCCATCATCGGCGTTGCTTGGTGAAAATAAGGATGGCTTAGATGCAACTCTAGGAGTTGATGAGCTCATTGAGAGTGCTGATGGTTTTGCTGGTGTCTTTCCTGGTAATCATGTTTGTTACAGTTTGTTACTTTTGTGCGTCAACTTCGCATTGCTTCTGCCTGACTTGATGCTTCATTTCAGAGCATAAATACGAGATCGTGCAGCGATTACAAGGTAAGAAACACATAGTTGGAATGACGGGTGATGGAGTTAATGATGCACCTGCATTGAAGAAAGCAGACATTGGAATTGCTGTAGCAGATGCCACAGATGCTGCTCGTAGTGCATCTGACATAGTACTGACAGAACCTGGGTTGAGTGTAATTATTAGTGCTGTTTTGACAAGCCGTGCAATCTTTCAAAGAATGAAGAATTACACAGTAAGGGGATTATCTCTTCTCGTTGTTTTAGCAAGTGGATCTGGAAGTGATCCTGGTACTGAATCTTGGGTTTGTTTTCAATAATTTTTTTGTTCTTGTTTCTTTCTTTCAGATATATGCCGTCTCCATAACAATACGTATTGTCGTAAGTAGTTCATGACCCCATTTCTGTCACATATAAGCAAGCTGTAATGTCAGTTTTCATTTCTAACTGGGTTTCTTTTACAGCTGGGTTTCTTGCTGCTTGCTGTATTCTGGAAATTTGATTTCCCTCCTTTTATGGTCCTCATCATTGCCATTCTTAATGATGGTAAGTATTACTAACCCTTTAAGTTCTCTCATCTCGTGTTTGTCTGTAACAGAGTTCATTGAGTGTGAACTCTCGGTTTTCTACTGTTCTTCATTTACTCCCCTTCTTCCTTTTGAAAATAAACCTGAACTTTAAACTACTTACCAGGTACTATTATGACAATATCCAAAGACAGAGTTAAGCCATCTCCAGTTCCTGACAGTTGGAAGCTCAGTGAAATATTTGCAACTGGGATTGTCTTAGGCAGTTACCTCGCCGTGACGACAGTTGTGTTCTTCTATATCACTTATGAAACTCAATTCTTTCAGGTAAACATGAGTATTGTGCATCCTTTGATTTATCCAGATAAAAAAAGAAGAATTTTAAATTTCTGAAGTTTTGCAAGGGGAAATTATATGAATTAGTTTCTCTTAATCTATTAATTGTTCTTTATCTTACTGTTACTATTTCTATGTTTTGCTGATACCTTGTTTAGTCCATAGCCTACAAGCTTAAATTTGCAGTATCAAAGGTAGTTTGATATGGCATCATAGAACTTTCTTTGTCCTTTTGTCTTCAGATCCTAATAAGGTTTTTGCCTAAAAGAAATCCTAGTAGTCCCCGATTTTAATAGTTTCTCAGTTTTGCATGTGTAAACTTGCATTTGGTTCATTTCATGGTTATTGCCTTTAGCATAGATGAACATTGTCAGGGCTTACGTTTTGTACTGGATGACAATGATCAAGATTTTAACCTCTCTCTCTCTCTCTCAGAAAAAATTCAAAGCAGATGATATCTTCAATGGGCCGCTCTATTATACAAAAAAGAGTCTCAACGAGCCACTAAATGCAAAGCTAGCATCTGCCGTGTACCTTCAAGTTAGCACCATCAGCCAGGCTCTAATTTTTGTTACTCGCTCCAGAGGGTGGTCATTCACAGAAAGACCTGGTCTTCTTCTTGTTATTGCTTTCATAGTTGCTCAACTGGTAAACAGTTTCATCCTTTTTCAATCGAAAAGCTTTCAATATATAACATTAGGTAGAAATTCTTCAGGCTCAAATAATGCTTCACATTCATCAAAATTTATGCTTGGAAGATCTTTTTTAAACTTCGTTTTGTTCAGAAAACTTTAGTTACAATACTAAACTTACAACGGTTTGAATTCATAATACGAAACGCTCCATGCTTACAGGTTGCAACAGCAATATCTGCTCAAGCAACGTGGGAATTTGCTCGAATTCAAGCCATCGGCTGGCGTTGGTGTGGAATCATATGGTTATACAACATTCTCATCTATATGCTACTTGATCCTATCAAGTTTTTTGTTCGATATGCGCTCAGTGGGAGGGCATGGAGTTTGGTATTGAACAAAAGAGTGAGTGAATTTGAATCTTCCATCTCTTGACCCAATTTTCTTTTTCTCTTAGTATTAGACATCAAGAATGAATGAAAATTTGTGCCTCTGTTAGGCTTCCTTTTGTAGATTTTAACAAAACTTTTGGACTTACTTTTCTCATTAGACCTTTCTAAGAGAACATTTATGTGTATGTCTATAATTTTGCAGACGGCTTTCAACACCCAAAAGGACTTCGGTAAAGAATTTCGTGAGGCTGCATGGGCTGCTGAACAGCGAACGGTTCATGGCCTCCCATCCGAGTCAAGGAACATCCCTGAGAGGCACACATTCAGGGACGTTAGCATCATGGCTGAAGAAGCCAGGAGACGTGCAGAGATTGCAAGGTTGGCCTTTTTCTTGCGTTGGATAGTTCAAGTTTTCTGCATATACCAATAGCATATATAAAACATGAGAAATATTATGTTGCCAAACAACTGCTTATATTTATAGACTCTGAATCTAGATTGCACATTCAGGCAAAAATCAACATAATCAACAATTTAGATTCACCGTCTGACAACATAAGCATCTTAGGTTATTACGTGTTTTGGCGGTGTTGTGTGTTGCCTAACTTTGATTTCGCTGTTTCTTTGCAATGCAGACTGAGGGAGCTTCACACTCTGAAGGGGAAGGTCGAGTCCTTTGCAAAGCTAAGGGGTTTAGATATCGAAGTGAACCCACATTACACACTCTAAGTCATTTTCTGGTGTACTTTTGGATATTGTAGTTTCCCTCTCGCTTTGACCATTTTGATCTTTTTCCTTTCCCTTTATTCTTGATCATTTTTCCTTATGTTGTATGGGTTTGATGACAGAGCTTGATAATGCAAAATAAAATATCAATAAAAGTTTTATTCTCCCACTGTTTCTCTATCGTTTCGAAGATGAGTTTTGGGGTTGATTTGATCAATATGGCTCAAATGTTCCATTATCTTCTGTTGATACATTTTTTTTATGCTGATATTGTGTTTATGATTAAAAACACTGCTAGTTTGTCCAACATCAAATTATTAAGGGCTTGTAGCTGAAGTAATTGGTTGACAATATTACGAACCACGGTTCATCTGTACACACGAAGTCTCATGTTCAACTTTTCAGTCGCTCAAAATCGCTCGTATGAAGAAAACATCAACACAGAGAATGAGATAAAGTATGCCCCAGCATGATCACGACTACAAGCAAAACCACAAGGCCCACAGAAGTCTGTCCTACAATTACTCTCTATCACAACAAAACAACTAAAATTATTGATTAATCCCAGTCTCGCCGATAATATCGGGATAATGTCGGAGATGATAATTTCCCACACGTTCAATTTAATCTAGGATAAATTTTCATTTATAAAAAATTCCCTAAGGATAAATTTAAGCATATGTTTAATGTTATTTATTATTTTATTATGAAGTTGTATTATTATTCACTATTGAGTTTTAATATTGTTCATTATATGCGATACTAAGTTTGAACGTAATAGGAATTCTTTCCATGTGGTACTAAATTACTCATATATTTTATCTTTGTTTTTTTTGGTCAAGCTCATATATCTTATCATATGTATATTGTAGTAAATTATTATAACTTAAAAATTATGGTGTGTCTAATTTTCTTAATTACTCTATATTTTATAAAGTCACAGTGTTTGTCAGGTCGCTATATAATCAACTTAAATCACTCAAACCCACCATGCTATGCATTTCCTTCCAATTTGTTGTGATAAAATAATAGACAATTGACTAAGTAAACATCCTCTAAAGTTTCAATAAAAATTTCTAAGTTTTTCTCATAATTTCGGTAATTTTTATTCAATTTTTATCGATATCGATATTTCTTCAATATTTCTGTATTTTTAAACCACTGATATTTTCGAAACTCTCGATATTTAAGATCCTAAAAGTGACAGATTTCAAATATCTTCTTTTCTTTTTCCACTAAAGAATATATTTTAAATATCAATACTAAATTATAATCCGATTAGGAATGATATTTTTTCTCCCATCCCCTGTCTCCTTGTGGGGCTCGACAAGATGGAATGGCTCACCTCATGAAGTTTGGTGATGACCTGTCTGATTATAATTTGTGCGGACAATCTCGATTATGAAGTTTATTTTTTAACTTTTTGGTTTTGCCTTTTGCTCCGATTCACGTGAAGGATTAAGTATGAACAGACCTTTGGCTAGTCCACTTCACAAATATGTCCGTGAAAATCACGTGCTCTAATGGGAATGAACTACTTTACACAAGCAAAATGAATTACCTAAAGATTCTGACCAAAGTAAATCTGAAAATTTCTGGTTTGAGATGATATTGGAGGATAATGGAACCACCTCCTCTAGCATAGCACTGGGTGAACTGAAATTCAGTTTACATAGATGTTAGTTCCACGTGGTATCAATCCGGTGTCAATGTAAGGAAAAAATCGTACGTCTCACCAACCAAATATCATGTGAAACGATAACGATTAACTTAATAGTTAGACGAACAAAGAGGCCAACAGTTTAATTATACTGTAACCGTATGCTTTATTTTGCTAAACTTAAAAAAAAAAAAAAAAAAGGGAAAACAACATGAAAATTCAGACCATAGCAACTCATAATGTAACAGGCATGAAGAAGAAGAAGAAAAAGTTTGAGAAAGGTTGTTAATGGCAGAAGGCGAGGCAATTAATGAGGTTTAATTAAAGAAATTAAAACGTGAATGAAGAGAGAGAAAAGATATTTTATTATGTAATTAATTAAAGAATTAAGATTAATAATACTTAATTTTCAACCCCATTTCCGCCCCATGTTTTATATGCCTCATTTTCAACCACATTTCTCCCCAGTGAGTGCCTAGTCACCTGACTATTACGTCGCTTTGTCAACTTTACAAATTTCTCACCATATTTTATAAATCAAATTATTCAATTTCACATTTGTATTTTTCAACAAATTCCTTTTGCTCCAGTGCTTGTTTGCCATGTCACGACCGCACCACGAATTCCACACCACAAAAATAAAGTAAACAAACATATATATATATATATATATATCCACGTACCCCACTTCTGTTTCTTCTTGTTGATTTTCAGATAAGATTCATGCAATAATCATGGTTCTTATTGGCTGTCCTCACTTGGGTTTGTGCCGCATTAGGTCCTCATGTGTTTGTCTGACTCCTGTTGGCATTTCCAGGTCTTTTCTTTTTAACGCGTTTGGTCTTCAAATTTGTGCTGCTGTATAAAATTTCAGTCACTTCCCTCGTTTTCTCCATTGCATTAAATTAACTTTGAAACACTGGAAGATATTTAGATTTTTTGAGCTGGTTCCTTGGTCCTAAAACGACTACGTTAATCACTGCTTTTCGGATCAGATACCGCCTAATCATCCCTTGGTTTCCTGTCTTAATCTGCTTTCTTAACTGGCTCTCCATTGCCATTACAATTTACAATCTTACTCTGCTGTGCAAGCAACCAAGTTCTCGTTCACTCCGACCGGCGTGGAATCCTATGGTCTTCTTTGTTGTTCCAGAGCGTTACGTGTGATGGGAGTTGGGATATTCTCGTTATGATTAAATTAATGTTAATTGGTCTAAGTTAAGGAGGTCGTGTTGTATTTCAGCATATATTTGATTTCATTGGATGGTACGGCTGTGCTTCGTTTAAGTTAGTTGGGATTTACTTTACTGTCTGTAATGGAGATGAGATTGTTTGAATCGAAAGCTATGTCTGCATCTGAGACGGTTCAGATGGGAAGGATGTATTCGAGCCGGTTTTCGGGTTTCAGGCACATACCAGCTGCTGCCAAATTCTCTCCCCAGTTCTGTTCTTGCAGAGGTAATTGTTTTTAGACAACAAAAACAAGGAGACAGAAAAATAGGATTTAAAAAAAAAAATTAATTCTCAAGTTCTTCATTTTTGCCCCCTCTTTTACTGTTTTTAGCTGAAAGTTGAGCTTCAAAGTCCTGCCTTTTTTGATGAGTTCGCAGCTAAATTTTCCATTCAAGAACTTAATGAGACTGCAGTACGTAAACGAAGGACCTATGCTAGTATATGATCACTAATGAGAGAATGCATGCCCTTTTCTTTTCCTTTTAAGAAAGATAGAAATTTATCTTAATGCTTGATTTAGACTTTGAGTTCATAAGAAAGTTTTCCCTTTTGTTTTCTTATTAGTTTCCTTTCCAGGGATTCTTCTGAAGGCTTCTTATTCTTCTCATCCTTCCAGTTCGAAAAATAACTTTCCGTCAAGCAACGCTATTGGTTCAGTTGGAGATAAACTTGCAGGGGAAACTTGCTTGTTTCAAATAATTGGAACAAATGGCACAGGGACAAGACCGAATTTGTTTCCTAGAGAGATTACAGTGCTTGATGCCTTCGATGATGAGTACGGGGGAGTTATCGTTGATCCAGAACGATTACCAGCAAACCCGAATGCCTTTGGCTATATCCTGCATTCTTCTCTTTCTCATTGGAGCATGGAGGTATATATTCTCTGCCTATGCCACACAATATGGTACCTCACCTTTTTGCTAGGAAACTGATAATTATAAACTTTAGTCACATTGAGAGCCTTTGATTTTCTGATCCCTCCTTTCAAATTAACATTGTTGTCTGGTAATGGTTTTACTGCTTATGTATCCTTGGTCTTTGTAATTTATATGAGCCTTATGTCTGTTCCCTTCCCTTATAATATAGGAGATGTAATATATAATTTCCATTTGACTGCAGGGCAAGAAGGGAATTTGGCTAAAGCTGCCAGTAGAAAGAGCTGAGCTTGTTCCAGTTGCTATTAAGGTACCTTACTAACTCTGTATAAAAGGATTTACGATACGAAACCAGAGTTTCGTGAGCTGAAGGTGAATGAAAGAAGAAAGTTCACAGAACAAGTAATTCGGGTTTGCAGAATTATATTCCTTTCTTTTGTTTTGATTATTTACTGAGTGTACTGTGATTATCTGATGTAATCTATCCGGTTTCAGGAAGGGTTCGAGTACCACCATGCAGAACGAGGGTATGTGATGTTGACATACTGGATTCCAGAAGGACCTTGCATGCTTCCTGCTAATGCTTCACATCAAGTAGGGATTGGGGGATTTGTCATCAATGAAAATAATGAGGTATAAATTGCTCTGTTGATAATGTGAGAAAGAAACAATAAATTCATACTTGGGATACACAACTAGCCAATTTTCTTAATCTTTGTATGAAACTTATGAGGTAGCTTTCTCATAAATTTTATTCCTAAATTTTATTGGATGCAAGAAACCTACCTAAATCTTTTTGTAACCAACCTAAGTGCCATGACTTCAACATAGTCAGCGAGAGATTCTTTGAATCCTGGGTTCTGTATCTTTCAGACAGACCAGCCTAAGTAGTAATCTTGCTGAATCTAATATGTATTCCGATAATTGTAACCGAAGAAACTATTTATATATGGTATTAGCACTAGTAATGTGCACTGCACTTATCTTTAGTTAATCGGCTTTGATAAACTTGTTCAAGCCCCTTGATTAAATGCAGCATTATTGAACTGATGACGCACTGCAGGTTCTTGTCGTACAAGAGAAACACTATGCTCCTGCGTGTGCTGGTTTTTGGAAAATACCAACCGGCTTTATCCTTGAGGTATGTTATCCAAGTTTGGAACTGCAATAGATCATGTTTTTCTAATTCTTTGTCTACTTATATTTTTCTTCCTTTGGGATCAGTCGGAAGAGATTTTCACAGGCGCTGTGAGAGAGGTTAAGGAGGAAACTGGGGTAAGAATTTGGTACCTAATATTTCTTCTACGGCTCAATTCCATCTAGATTGCAAGAATTTATTCTTGCAAAG